TTTTATTGTACAGTTTTCAAATTAAAACTTTCGGCAACCCCATTTTGAATGAAAACAGGACAGCTTTACGGGCCCGTTAAGTTACCGGGACTTCGAGAAACAGGCCCCTGGTGATGATTATTGAGCCTAAATGTGAAACAGTCGTAAGACACTAGCGACATTCTGCATCGACTATTTTTATCGATTGTGTTTGTTCAATTTTCCTTTTTTTCCCCTTTAACGTTTAATTTCAAGAAAAAAGACTATCGATCTTAAAGAGCACAGTATGAGAATAGAGGTTTGATTGTTCGATCTATTTAATACGTTCATCTACATATCGTTTACAATAAACTAAAACATCTTCATGATTCATAAACATTATAGACAATTGTTCTAAAAATATGTAAATATACAATTAGTCTTATGACGGGCTATAGGGCTTCAATGTCAATCACCAAAGTCAGTCGCTTACTCTTAGTAAAGAAAATAAGAATGAATCTGACTTTTTTTGGCTGTTAGAAAATTAACCCTAACAGCTCTCCTTCACTACTATCTAACGCTTTATTCCATCTTGTTCGGAAGCGTAAAAGGAAATATCTTTAAAAGTAGGCATGTTTATTGTGTAAAAAACGGTGAAATGGTTATTTACGGTAAAATTAAAAAAAAAAAACACTAACAACTCCGAATATTGCGACTCAAAAACTAAAACTCGCGAAAATCGTTCGCGTAACTTCCTTGCGAAGTTTATAAACTGACGAACTTTCAAAGCACGCGCGTTAATCTGAAAATTACAAGATATGTTGGCATCTTTGACCAAACGCTACTTTTGTATAGTTTTGGGCATTCGGAGATTTTCGCGAGGTCTATTATCTTTTTCAACATCAATTAGCATGTCTGGGACGACTTCTTTTTTTCGCCTACCGAGGCTTGTAATGATTCTTCTCAAATTTACACGGCAAATTGTCTAAAAGCTTACCGTAATTACTCATCCTTAATTAAACCTTTACTACAGGTGAGTCGATTTATTTGCATAGTGATGATGATGATGATGATGATGATGATGATGAAATCTTTATTATTATAGATCAAACTAAACACTTGCAGACATACGTGCAAGTTTACAACGGATCTCTGCAAACATTAAACTAAATAAAACTAAAAAGAGACCTATTTATCTTAAAGAGAACACAATGAAAATAGAGGTTGGATGGTTTTATTTGATACGCTCATATACACATCGTTTACGACAAACTAAAATCATAAAAATTATTGACCGGACAAGTGTTCTAAAAATATGCAAATATAGAATTAATCTTATCACCGGCTGCTATAGGGCGTAAACGTCAATCCCGAAAGTCAATCGCTTTCTCTTAGTAAGAAATTTTAATAATAAATTTGACTTTTTTTTGCTGTTAGAAAATTAACCCCAACAACTTTTCTTCACAACTCTCTGACGCTTTATCCCATCTTGTTCGGAAACGTAAACGGAAATCTCTTTAAAAGCAGGCACGTTTATTCGAGTGAAAAACGGTGAAACGGTCATTTACGGTTAACTGGAAAAGAAAAAAAACGCTAACAACCCCAAATATTGCGACTCAAAGACTGAAACCTAAAACTTGCCAAAATCGCACGAGTAACTTGCTGGCGAAGTTTCGACAAAACTGACGAAGTTTTAAAGCGCGCGCTAATCTGAAAACTGTAAGATATGTTGGCATCTCTGACCAAACTTTACTTTTGTGTAACCTTAAGCATTCGGAAATTGTTGTGAGGTCTTTTATCTTTTTGAACAACAGTTAACATCTCTGGTGACGACTTCTTCTTTTTCGCTTGCTGAGGCTTAAAATCATTCTTCTCAAATCGACATATATTGTCTAAAAGCTTATTCCTTTAGCTGCCGATGAATTCTTGCTTACAAACTGAGTTTTAAGTTTTATTGTCAAATAATTGATCTCACAGGTGTCTGTCTGTTTGACTCTTAATGCAAATTCACTTTGAAATTAATCGTCATCAATTCAACAAACCCATAGTTCTGTCGCACGCTAATGTTAAATGAGACAATGAATATCACAGAATTAAAAGTTGTCAAATAACGTTTCCGTCGTTTTAAAGACATAAATACAAGGTGCAAAGATGAACTCCTGATTATGGTCGGGCGCGAAACGAACAGTTAAAGGTTGGAAGACTTCAGTTTTGAATTACAAGTTCAAATATTTGAAGATAATTTGGTATCTGTGGTAAAAGGTAATGTTGTTTGGTCTTAATTACTCGGAGATTGTCACGAATTCAATTTTCGGAGATACAAACAAATTGTTACTTTGAAGCGCACATATATTTATTTAGCTGCCGTTTGGGTTTTATCTGGTGCCGTTCCTTTATGCTACATTTTAGATTACCGTATAACCTTATGGTATGAATATTTCTCTATACCATCTTGTCTAGTAATCTTGCTCGTCGCGTACACAAAGATTTTTCGCACCCTCAGCCATCATCAGGCACAAGTACAAGATCACATTCAACAACAGACGAGCCGAACAAATGCTCTAAACAATGCGCGATACAGAAAGGCGGTGTATAGTGCACTATGGGTGCTTTTAGCTACAGTTGTTTGTTATACACCGTATATCATACTTCAAATTGTGACGGCTCGTAAAAAGTCTTTTTCATCACATTTAATCAACACCAGAGGAATAGCAATAACTTTACTTTACTTCAACTCCACGTTAAATCCATTTCTTTACTGCTGGAAGATTAGGGAAGTGAGACAAGCAGTAAAGCAGACAATCAGACAAGCACTTTGCTGTCCATGGAGTTAGGAAAGTTAGATATTCCTCGATCGGGTCATCATTTCAGTTGGCATTTCAAAACTGACTCATAATGTTACGATTGCTAAAGGACAACGCTCGTCGGCTGCGTGAAAACATCGTTGCACGGGCTTTTTTTTTCAATATTATTCCCATTTAAGCAAATAAAAGGACAGAGAGTCAAAACAGCAAACATACACGTCTTGAGAAAACTTTGTTTCGTAGGATAGCATTTTTTATCAATAAAAGCAACTCATGTTATCCACACGTATCGTGTAAAAACAAACAGGACGTCGGCTCGATATTACTTCGAATTCGTTGTTTTAGTTTCTTAATAATTAATATCATAGTGAGGGATAGAGTTGAACCTCAAAGATTAGTAAAGGAGAGCTGTTGCTCTGTTTTTCATGAGCAGTAGATTTCAGTATTTTTTGTACGTAAATTATTTGAATAAAGCGCTTGACGATGACGTTTTATTACTACACGAGTTAAGATCGAAATTGAATGCAAATTTAATCATATTCCCTAAGATGCCA